TTTTTTTTTCTTATATTTAGTCAGATATATACTTAGATATTAAAAAGCAAAAGTCATGATACGGTGTGTATCCTATTATTATTTTTTGCTTGTTCCACGTTCATGTACAGCTTGCTTGCTCATACATTTGTATCTTTGGTCATTCTTTTTCTAACTTTTTCTTTTTTCAACTCTTCATATCATGGATTTTTTTTCTTACATAATACAAATACAAACGGTTCTTAGCATTTTATCAAAGTCTTCGATTGCAATAACTCAAAAACAAAAAAAAAATAAAAAGCTTTGCAAGAGAAAGAGAAATTATTTTCGATGATCTTATATTATTCGCATTAAGTGAACATGCAGATCAAAATGATGGCTATGCAATCATCCACGACTCAGCCTCATATTACCGCGTCTTGAATGCTTTTCAATCGATTTTGTTTTGCTGTATAAGCTTGAAATAGATTTTTTAATGTTCTTTTTGTTCGTATTGAGCCATAATATGACAGAATAGTTTATGGAACAGTCTCGTGAATCTTTGTTCGATTGCTGAAGTAATCTTGAATAGTTCTTCGTTAAACGGTAAAAAAAGTATCTTGAAAGGTAATAAGTTATTCAATTCAGCATGACTGTCAATCATCAATGATGTTCTATAGGTTTTTTTTAATGGTAGTTTAAAAATGTTTTGTTGATCGTCTACAAAATCCCATTTCTGAGTTTTTTTTTGTTGATAAAAATGAAATACAGATTTCTGCATTTGATACAAATAGTAAATGGTACATATTTGCTGATTTGGAATATTAGCTCATTTTTTTTGTTCTTATACAAATCTCATATTATTATGATCACATAGTTGTCTTAATGTTAATCTTTTACATCGCCTAATAATGAAAGCTTATCTAAATTTTTGAAGTATTGTATCATTATTGATGATAAAATAAAATGTGCTTGTTCTGATATGTATTACGTAAATGATAACAAACATAGGTAAACTGAGATATTCTTTATAATAATCAAGAACAATTCCGTTCTATCGATTTCCACACTTTTCTTTGTTCTTACTTTTTTCTCATTCTTTTGTTTGAGACGAATTCAGTTTCTCTCTCTCTCTCTTGTTCATTATCGAAATAGACTCATGAAGAAAGGATCATATGTTGCTTTTTCCTCTCATTATACGATCCCTAGATAAACTAATCCAAGCTGCTTGTCGCACGCATTTACACGCTCCGCCTCTGCTTCAACTACTATATGTACGTATGTATTATTCACATACATGGTAAACACGAATAGTCATTCCGTATAACATCAGTTGACCTCACACAAGTGCGTGTTATTTGATCCAAACGTATACATCCTTTTTTTCTTTGTGTGTATTGTCGAACAATATTTGATGATGGTGACATGCACCTATCATCAGTAAGGATGACAATAATGATGCATTGTTTCATCGTTTGTAAAGTGACGCTATGAATGTGACATTATTTCGGTGGCTACTTATTGTAGTCACTAAAATTATCTATTTTGTTGATGCGAATTGGATTACAGGTAGTAAAATATCATAGAATAAAATAGTTATTTTCAAAAGAAAATTTTTGATATTTTGATTGTAAAGGTAATCTTTGTTGGTCAATGCCATGTATGAATGGTGGTTCATGTTTTGGTTCAGCATTTACTTATCTGTGTGTATGTCCAATAAATTATAGTGGAGCTTTATGTGAAAAAAGACTTGGTATAAAAATCTATTTTGTCAAGATAATATTTATTAATTATATTTATTTTTTTGTTGTTCGTATTGATTAGGTATTTGTCAAGAAAGTCCTTGTGGTAATCGAGGTTTATGTGTTGAAACAAGTTTAACTTCATTTGAATGTCGATGTTATTTTGATTATATGGGTCCATTATGTGAAGAACATGTACCGAAAGATGATCCTTCCGTATGGTCATGTAAGTAAATAAATAAATAAATAAATAAATAAATATATCTTATCATTACATGCTAATTATTTAAATTCTTATTTATAGCCCTTATACCTGTACATACACGAGTTTTATTTGATATATTACAAGAAGCATATCGTGTAAAAGCTCAAGGTAAATCAACAATTACTTCTAGTAATGGTCCAATAGATTTTTTGGATTTATTAACTACAAATGGTGCATCATCATCATCATCATTCTTATCTGATACAACATCATCAACAATAGTTAAATCAAATTTTATAACTTCTTCAAGTGAGATAACTCAACCAGAAAATATTATACGAGCTGAAGATATTCAACTTGAAAAAATTTTCCCTAAAATTAGTACAGCATCAACAAATACCATGTATAAACCAAATTTTATCGAAATGACTTCTCAAATATTTGAAACAACGGAGCCAAATAATTATAGTAATGAAACAAATATAACTTCTTCTATTGTGGCATTTACAATAGAAAATATTACAACAACTGTATTACCTCCTTTACAGACTGTCGAAAATATGATGACAATATCATTAGAACAAAATCGAAGTAATTCATTAAATATTACTGAAGATCAAGAATTTATTAATATGACTCAACAATTCAATACAATGATAACTTCTACACCTTTTGAATGGTTAAATTCTAGCAGTAACAATGATACAATAACTGATTTTACTCATGAACTAATACAAAATTCAACTGAACAAAACAATAATAATATGGAATCTAATGAATTTATTATCAATACTACTTCTCAAATAATTGATTACACTTTATTTGAAACAAGCAATCACTCATCTATTCAAATTGATAATAATCAATTTAATATATCAAAACAAACAATATCTTCAACTAAACAATCTTTAACTACTGATAAAGTAAATGATATCAATAATAATTCTCAAAATCAATTACTTTATAAATTATGTCAACAACTTTTATCTCATATTTTACCTAATGTATCGTCTTTATCATCATCATCATCATCAAGTGCTATCGAAGAAGCTTTATCATTAGTATCAAGTTCATCATCAATTGGTAATAATTCAGTTGATGAACTTCTTACTTGGATTAAAGAACAACTTAGTTCATCAACAATTACAACTACTAGTACAACAACAACAACGGCAAAAACACCGTCAACATTATCATCATTATTACAAAATGAAAAAAAATTATCAACAATGTCATTACAACGAGTAGATATGGATGATGCACTTCATCAAATGAACAATAATATGGATGGTGAACAATAAATAATAGTCAAATACATTATTAATAAATCATCACCATCTCTAGCGAACAGTCTGTTTTATTAGTTTCTTTTTTATATGACACAATTGTCTAGCTTTTAATGTCTATTACATCTCTTTCTTTTTTTAGTCTTAAATAAAATTATAGAGAATGGCAATTAATATTTAATTAGATAAAAATTTGAATAACGATTGGTCAAGATGATTTTTGTTGAATAAAGACAAACAAAAAAATAAAAGAAATTTAATCTTTGTTTAAATATTCTTCAGAATTTGATAACTTTTCACTTATATCTACATTTTCAACGTTAAATCATCATAAGTAATTAATACCACCCCAAAGAGGCAATGACGTCAGATTTCAATGCGTAGGAAATTGCTAGCATTTAAATGGATATGAATGTATAATTATTGACGTAAATAGTTTTTAAAAGAATTTAAAGTTTTTGTTTTTTTAAACGCATAATTAAATATATTCTTATTAGTTAGTCTCAATTTTTAAATTACTATGACAGATGGTACATAATAAAGATGACCAAACGTTGTTCTTTTTTTATCTAGGTACTTAATAAGACCTTAGAGACTTTGTTTTACGTGTATTCCATAGAGAATTTCCTGTTGTACAAATCTAATGCCATTGTTTTCAAATAACTTAGTTTTCTGTTGGCGCAAAATTAAAAGTATGAATGTCTACTCAGTTATCTAATGAAGATAGTGAAAAAATCGAAAAATATCATAAATGTTTTGCTTATATTTCAAGTATGCTGCAAAGTTCTCCATTAGAAAAAATATACGCGAGAAAAACTTTTTCAAGTAATAAATGTGAAAAAAAAACTTTTTTCGGGTGGAACGATATCATTATTCTACATCAGGCAGGATGGGAACAAATTTGTCATATATCAAGTCTCACTTAAAAAAAATATGTTTTTTCAGGATACGTCTCAAAATATCACTGAGTATTGATACAAAATCTTGTCTTCTGAACAATAGCAGGAGAAAACTTGAAAAACTTGTGAAAGCAAAGAACATGAAATTCTTGATCTATTAGTGCCAAATATTTCACTTTTAACAGTGATCCGATCCTGATGAGCGCAATGGCTTATGCAAATTAAAAATTACAATTTGACGATTGAGGGGATACTCTTCTTTTACATTTCGCGCCAACAAAGAGAAAAGTTATTTGTAAAAGCCAAGAGAGTTATTTTGTACAGAAAAAAATGTTCTATTAAATGAATAAAAAATGAAGTTTCTAATGTATGAATTTAACTTTTGTGAATGTCTACTGCAAAGTAAAGACTAGATTAACTCTATTGAATGAATCAGTTCCATTTTTGTTCGAATTCAATGAACTCAAATAGCACATGGAAAATAAGCTTTTGGTTTCCTTTTAACTTTTGTACATTTCTTGTACTTTATTAGCTAAACTTTCATCAGACAATTGAGTTTTGATGTAATTTAAAAATCTCTTAAATACATTACGAATTAATTAGAATTAAGATATACTTTCTCAATTATTGACGAACATTTTTTTTAAGCAATAGTTTATCTTTTTGTTAAATCTGTGTGAGTAGGTGTAGGAATAAGTACTTATTTCACTTATTTTCATCCGGATTTTTCAAGGAACAGCATTTTGTCGTTTAAACCAATATTCTACCGTCTAAAATTACCGTTTATTACAGCTGAACGCTGTTTCGAAGTAGAAAAAAATAAGACATTTCTTCTCATAAACGGTATCGAAACGTTATTATATGTATTTAGTTACCATATATATATATAGTAACGTGTCAAAACTGTTCGTGAAGGTCGATTTCTTATTATTTTCTACTGCGAAAATGACGTTGAGCTGACAATACGGATAATAATGTAACAGATCATTACTCGGTGTACTACGACAGATCATAACAATATCATAGAAGGTATGTGCACATTAAATAGGAGCTGATTGAAAACCGGACACATATATGTCTTCCGTCGTTAAAGAGTAACAGTATGAACTGCTTATGATGCACCTCGACTAAGACATGCAAATTCTAAAGTATTTACAGTATGTATTAGGTGCCAATGATTGAAAAGTTCAACAGAATGTATTTTCCTATTTACTTCATAGTTGGATAGAGCTCGTCAACTTAAGAGTTTCTGATCTATTTTCCTGTGTATTAGAAATTAATGGTATCATGGGTTTTTCTTTTAAAATATTGCTTTTTTTGTTTTCTATATTTGAAACTTTTGCTTATATAAATTGACGAGCTCTATCACATTATAACTATAAGAGAAAAATTAATCTTGTTGAAATTTTGACTTTTTAGCACATAGTATGAACTGTGAATATCTTAAAATTTATATATTCAAATCTGTGCAAGTCATAAATAGTTCATATTTTATATTTGTCAGCTTGGTTATGAGATTTTCAATTAGACTAAAATATTTTCAATATTTTTGACCTACGATACACACCACTGTACGATGTGTATGACATCATAAGTGATCTGTAAACACATTTTGTTTCATATTAAATCTATTTATTTAATAAGAAGTAAATTTTCTTTTTTCTAATATGAATTAGTAGGCTAAAATTGTTATTAGAAAAATAAATTGTCGAAAATTATTGTTGGATTATCTTTCTTTTTTAAAATAAATGCGACGTCAAGCAAATATAAATAAGAATTTAAAGAAATGAATATTATGCACTCGGTCTTATTTCAATGCATTTATAATTAATAAACAATGACTTGACTGAGATGATGTGACATAAATAATGAAAAAAATTTTTACATAACTTTGCATTATTATTTTGAATGTCAATGATATAAAAGCATGTAAAGAAAAAGTTACTTATCACTTCTTTATATTATTAAGTATTTAAATCATAAAAGGATGAGCTATTTTTAAAAAGTGCATATTAAAATTTTCAAATGAGAACTGCATAAAGTATACACAGATATAGTTAGAAGTACGTAAACGAAAGACGATAGTATTGTAGTCTTAAATGCGCCGTTCAACAAATGAATTTCTCATCCATATTTGATAAGTATGTAATTTTTATATAAAACTAAACATTATTTTGCAGATAGGAGCTATTTAAGAACATTGAGTTACACATCTATTCAAAAAAAAAAGAATAAAGATTTAAATTTAGTAAGAACTGTGGACACTAGAAATTTTAATAAATAGTTATGTTTTGTTGAACATAGTAGAAAATAAATTTCTCAATGATTATTTTTACAAAAGAAAATAATAATAACAATAATCAAGTATGATTAAATAATAAAATCTAAACAGGGAAAATAATTTTCTAGTTGAGCAGATGGAAAGAAGCGATCATATGTTGATGGTAAAAAAAGAAAAAGACGTAGGATAGAAAAACCTGCTTCCATTGACGATGAGAAAAAGAAAAGCGAAACGGAAATAAAATGTTTCCTATATATATGTAGATATATATAAATGTTAAAGAGTTTTTACATTTAAGATAAGTCTTACAAAAGAAATCCAAGTACACTGCTAATACAATATGAATAAATCCTCTACATTGATATTCTTTGTCTTAATTATATTATTTTCAAGTTCATCATTAGCTTATCGACTTTATTCAAATCCATATGAACACGTTCGAGAAAATGTTCGATCAGTAAATATGGAAATGATCGTCCCAGTTGATGATGATACCTTTGAATTAAAATATTTTATATTACCAATAAATCGCGTTTCTGACGGTAAGTAATTTATATTAGTTGTAGTTATGTTATTAACATTGGTTTTCATTTCGATAAGTAAGTCTAATCTCTCATTGACAGAAAAAAGCTTTCTTTTTTCTTTACTCTTATAATTATTAAATATACATTTGTACATCAATGTAAAAGTAGTGACTGATATTCTGTCTATGGATAGTTTGAGCCATCAAGCAAGATAGGTCTTCCGTTTCAAAGCAGCTTCGAAAAAAGAAACGTTTAGACATATTTACAGTCGAAAAATGAAAACGATTCAATGAGATAACTTTCTTTTCTTTTGGCATTATTGTTTGTTCTCTCAATGTCATCTAAATGATATCATTTTCAAATAAATAAAAAAATAATACGTAAATATAATATATATGCGTAGTTGACTCTATTACCTATAATACAATGCTATACAAATGTATATATAATAATATAAGAAGAAGAAAAAATGAAGCTTTTTTCTTGTCAATGAAAAAGGATTCTTCATAAAATATTACCTATGAATTTGAATACGTCGAAATAAAAAAGAAGGATTCGTTCACATATATTAATAATAGACTCTTGTGCTTTTAGAAAGAATGCGCCGTGGTTGGGGCAGTGGATGACGACATCAATCTATTAGTAATCATAGTTGGAATGTCGATACAATGTATTTGATTCGTTTTTTTTCGCTTCTGTATAACAACATTTTCTTCGTTTATTTTTCTTTATCAATAAAATAAACATCTTAAGCTTGAAGAAAATAAAAATTTATCATTGTTACTTAACGTCTTGTTTAATCAAATTTCATACAGTTGTTGCCAAAAATGTACATTTCTACATATGATTGCAATTCTTTTTGATTTAGCGTTTTCTTGAATCGTTAAAAAACAAATTATTTAATCTTATTGTTTTAGAAATTATACAACATCTATGGGAATAGAAAGTTTTTTTATATGATTTCTTCTAAAGAAGAGTTTCAATCATCGTATGAAATAACTCATGCGAGCGACTGATAAGAAGCATGAGTGCGAGTGTGAAAGGTCATTATCAAAGGAAAAAAGTTTGTTCAGATCCAGATGATGTGTTAGGTGCTGATTTTTCAGCTCCTTTCTGTTGAAAATAATCGAACGCAAGAAACAATTATCGTTCTATATATAAATGAAATTTTATATATGATCTATAAAATATTTCAGAAATCATTCTGCTGAAAGAATAAAAAAAAAGAAAAAGGTATACTGTCAAAGAAAAGAAAGAAAATTATGCCTATGTTATTTGTACCAACAAGAAGGTTATATTCCTTTTTTAAATCACAATGTGATGATTGTATAAATGTACTTCAATCGTTGTTTAATAGCATATAGGATATGTTCTAAATGCTTTTTTGAATATAGGTAGAATTATCGTTTCTTTTCTTTAACATCCATTGATTTGCGGTTGATATGTTGTTCTTCTCGATTCTTTCGTTTGTCACTTAACAGTAGGAATAACGATACGCTTTTTTTTTACTTATGAGTCGCTACTATTCAGATTCGGACAATGAATATATTAATCATCGTCGACGATCAGATAATGTACGTGGATCAGGTTGGCAATCACCGTTACCAACATCATCAACAAATATAATACCATCATCATCATCATCATCATCATCTTCTGTAACACGTATTGTTGTTGAATCACCATTTGGTTCAAAAAAATATGATTATACTATTGATAAATCTCAACGTGGTCGTTTAATAATAACTGCACGTCGTCGACAAACATCATCGGATTATCGTCCATCAAATGATAAAAATCATATTGCTATACAAACATTTACAATTCCATATGATGCTGATGTTGATCATTTACAATCTCATATTGAACGTGATACAAATCGTTTAGTTATTGAAATTCCTCGTCAAAAACGTACATATTCACGTACACCACGTTCATCACATATAAATAAAACTTATGCTAGTAGTCGTTTAATACGTTCACCAGATATTGAACGTATGTTAACATCACCAACAGGTGGTCCACAATTAATACATGATGATAGAAAATCAAATAGGAAAAGTACTGGTAATAATCGAAAACTTGAATATCGTATTGATTGTCATGGTTATACAGCTGATGAACTTGAAGTATATATTCAAGGACGTGATTTAATTGTACAAGGTAAAACTCGTAAATCAACATCACCAGATCCAACACAACAACGTGTATCAAAAAAATTTTCACGTAAAATAACATTACCACATACAGTTGATTTAACAAAAGTTGTTTCTTATTTGGAAAATGGAGAATTACGTGTTGAAGCACCACTTAAACGTGGAGTTTATTATAATGAGGAAGAAATTATTATACCTGGACCACCACCATCATCATTAACATCAAATCGTCCAATTTCAACATTAGCATCAAATGTAGAAAATCGTATTCGATCACCATCACCATATAATCGTCATCATTATCGACAAAATGAACGTATGAGTCGTCGTCGAGATTATGAACGTTCAAATAATCGACCATTATCACATCAAACACGACGTGTACGTTCCGTTGAAGCACTTCGTTATCCTCTTTATAGATCACCACGTGATCTTGATGAAGATGATGAAGATGAAGATAATACAAAAGAACAAGAAAATCGACGTCGGCGAACTCTTGATTATGAACGTCATAGTAATGATCGAAACGAAATAGAACAAGAACGACCTGTATATAGATCAGTTTATTCGCCAACAACTAATCTTGTAACTAAGACAACAACTACGACATTAGGTCGTCGTCATAATTATCCATCTAATGATGATAACTATTTAAGATTTTGATTGTTTCTATAGTGACGAAGAAATTATCCAAGCTCATACAGGCTGTTGGAGCTAACATTTGATTAACAAGGAGATCACCATAAGACTAGAAAAATTTCATCAAAATATCAAATAACGAAATTTTCATCTGAAAGTTTCAGTCAAAAAGAATGTTCCTTTGTCAAAATATAGAATTTCTAAAACTTTGTTTTTCCGTCACAGATATATTACAAAAATCGGGTTTAATTGAAAACTTGATTTCTCGAACAAAGGACATTTTCAAAATCATCAGATCTATCTATGGACAAAATTCCTTTATTTGATTTTTCGGTAAATACCTAAAGTTGAAGCGAAAATTCAGTAAAACGGTCGTAACTCTTGGCTTGAGAGGCCCATAGACGTGACTGCTTTTAGAATTTTTCTAGCCTTATCGAAATTTTCTTGCAAGGTCAATATAAACTCAAACAGTGTATATCACTTTGGGTAGGTCCCTCATTAGAAATTGTTTTAAACATGGATTCTTTGTAATGTGAATTTTGAAAACAAAAGAAAACCATTTTAGTAAATAATCTTTTTAAATGATACAATTTATAAAAGAGAAAACGTTATTTTAAGTTAAAACGAAAACTCATCACATCTTTTGCGAACTATTTAAACATTCTTTATTTATTTTTCTTAATAATCACTTTTGTATTTTACAACTTCTATAATTGAATTACCTTTCATGTTAATCAATGAGAATTTAATGAGTATGATTAATATGTAAGTACCAATGATTCAAAATAATTTACGCATATAAAAAAAGGACTAGAACTATATTTAGATATTACTTTATCGACTGTTTTCAATATGTGAAGCAAAATATTAACACATGTTTTAGATTGATTATTGACACTGCGTGGAAAAAAAAAGTATTTTTGTATCGGATTAAATATGCATTAATATGAAATTTTATATGGAACATGAGTTTATTTTATAAATGAGAAAATAGAACTAAGTACTTGTATAAAAAAGAAAATTACACAATCTTGTACATATCACAGATACTTCGGCTCAATGCTTTCACTCACGTCATTTTCTATTATGCGCAACAAATTAGATAAATGCAATGATATCAGTTATTCATAAATTTTATTAAATACCGAGAATGATAAGATACATTAATATATGTTGTTTCGATTCTTTGTTTTTGTCTTTTTTTTCTGCCCTTTAGCTTAACAAGTGCATATTATCTGATGTTTGATTGAATAAAACTCATTCACAGTAAATGCACAGACATATAGCAACTTCTTTAAAGAATGATGACTGGATGGAACGGTAATCTAAACAAACTAATATCGAATCTTGAAATTTATTGGCAGCAAAAATTTAACATTTCGATAGATACTTGTTGGCAGCTAATTAATAATAAGTCGTGAAAAATGTTGAATATCTACTTGAAAAGAGCATGAAAGTCTGATTTTCTTTAATGAGTTATAAGTGAGCGAAAATTGAACAGCCATATTTTGCAAAGGCTTTTTACATACAGATTATTCTAAGATAATTAAATGTTACAATGAAAAATAAGACTATACTTACGTCACTCTAACGAGCACAACTAGATTTAAGACCAAGTATATCAGTGGTTATTTTTCTATTCTTAATTAAAACTTACGAAATACTTCATACAAATATGATTCACAATCATATTCAGACTGAATAATTTTCTAGACAAAATTTTTTCTTAAAACTTACTTCTGTGTTCAGATTATTTCCTTTTCATTGTACACTTTATATTTGATCAAGTATAATACAAATTTATTTATATTTACATGACAATTGATTTTGATCATCGAATTGCACAATAGAAACAAAAAAGAAAAGAAAACAAACAAGCACAAATAAGATAAGAATATATATATATATCATTATTAAAAACTGAATAGTATATCATATAGAAATTATATTCCATCTATAATTTTCTCTTTTTAAATCTGCTCTATCATACAATAAATATTATATCAGACACGTCGATAGATATAAAGAACCATAAAAGTTGCTATTATTCCACTGAGAAAAATACCAATTGTTGTTAAACGTGATTGAGGTACTACATCACGTAATATAACCAACTAAGTTTTTCAAAAAAGAAACAAGAAAAAGATAAAAATTTAGCTAGAACACTAAAAACTTACCCAACCACCTTTACGAACAATCCATGGAGCAACAATTTCTTTTACAAAACGCACAGTCCATTCAACAAAAACATGTAAAATTGATGATGGTTGATCCCTAAGTGACTACAAACAAAAATATACAAGACAAATAAATACTTGGTCTTTTTTCTCATTATTATTATAAATACATACTTTCAAGATAAGTTTATATGTAAAATAAAAAAGTGTTACGATTCTTCCCCAATTATAAATACCATCACAAAAAAGTTCTTTAGCAACATCGCTGAATGTTTCATATGGACTATTGATGGGTACTTGATCGACCATACTAGTAAAGAAAAAGAAGTTCATTCTCAAATTTGTTGTTTTTTCGTTGTGGTATAAAACCAAAGGATAGCGATAGAAGAAAGATGGAAATAAGGTTAAAAAGCAAGCAAAGTTTCTATTATAGCTTACCTTTTAATCTTTTATTCTGAAAATAAGTTTTATAGATAGATAGAACATTTCTTATATCAATAATAAAAATTATAAACTTATTTTATACTTTTTTATTCGTTGATCAGCGTCGAGTTCATCACCAATCATTCGTAATCGATGAGCAATTTGTTGGATTTGTCGATATTGTGGAACTAGATTAAATAACATCAAGCAAAGTAACTATTTAAAATTATTATATAAATAAATTCTTACGTGCAGAAAGATCAACATCAATTATAGGTTTAACTAAACCCATATCGACACCATCTTCTGTAGCTCGTTCAATAATAAATTCTTCTAATATATAACGAGTTTCTTCTGTTACATCTTCTACACTTTTTTTATATGGTGAATTATCATTGTAATCAGTTGCTATAATTTACTCAATGAATTTTAATCTTACAGTTTAAAGAAAAAACATACGAATATAAGGTACAGGTGCAAAACGCATTGAATAAAGGTCAGATAGATCTGATGAAACAACTTTTGTGTTAGTTTTCGAAGGCATTTTTAATTGATGATTACAATGGTTCTATACTCGTTCAAAAATCGATCGGATTAACAATGGAGTTTCACTAATCTACGTAAGTGATAAATAACAATGTCATTGAAGATTATCCAATAAAAAGAAAAAGTAATTGATCTATTCTTTTTTATGAAAGCTTTTTATTAATTGGAAATATATATAAACCAAAATTAAAGACTTTCTAGAAAAGAATTGACTATGTAAATCACATCATATAGATGTCACTTCTCAACAATGATCAATATACTCAATTTGATGAACGATCAGAAGCTAAAAAAAAGAAAATACACAAAGTTTTTTCTATTCGTAGTTGTCATTTTCAATTAAAACAGATATTCAAACAGTATTCAATCTAGATTATATAGAAGAAATAAGGTTTTTACGGTGTGAAGCACTGAAAGATCGGAAATCGTGCAGTATTTTTCTATGTGATATCTACTGAGAAACTACCACTGGTATTTCAAAATTTCCTTTGATGGCGTAATGCATCAAAACGAGTAAACATTTGTAAAGCCTACTAAAACTGATAAAATTGAGTTATTTTCGATGGACTCTTCTGTAATGTTAGTACATTCGAACCGTCTGTAAAAGCCACAGAGCCTAACTCAGCTCTATAGTTATCACAAATATTCTAGTGGTACATGATGCTGGAACAATTTCCATTAGTAAAATATATTGTGAAACTGTTTTTTTCCTTGCATTACTAATTTGAACTCTTTCTAATAAATAACTTGAATTTCGGTAGAAAGCACGCTCTGCAATCATTTATAGATGAAACCGAAAATTGTAGCGTCACCGTCGGTTCTTATGCATGATCAGTTGATATATATAAAAGAAAATTTTTTTATATTTATATGATAATACTTGCTGGTGCAGTTTGTTGGAAAACCACAGATTGATCGCGATTTATTGTAATATCAGAAAAATCACAGATGAATCGCCGAAAGTGGTGCAATCTTGATGGCATGAGTAATAGTCCAGCCTATCATGAGGGGTTCAATTTGAGGATCACTAGACAAAACGATAAACTACTGAAATTATGGACTTTATTGCTCATTGATAATACTTCAATTCAACACATAAATCATCAATTGATTTTTTTAATTTAACGAGATGTATGTCAAATGTACTGGTAGACACAATTAGCATAATGACTATGTTTATCATCCAGTTGTATCTTTCAAGAAGCATTTTAATTCTAGAAATTAAACTATCAAAAGGGTGTGTGTATAAAGTCTGCCGAGTATCGCACTCACATGCACATCCTCACCCACACCTAAATATACCTCATAGAATATATGGACGACCTCGTCTTTGTACAATGAAAAAACACTGGAAGATCGTTGCTATGCCTATAAGAAAAAATAATCACAGACGCTTACAAATTCTAGAAATGGATTCTGCTATCAAAACTGAACGTGTACGAGTCAGTGTGGTAAGATAGAGCAGGACGAATCCACTTTATTCACAGATCAAAAAAATTTCGCGTCACCTATGGATGACAACGCATGAAATATGAGATTCCGTAGTGGTATGCAATGAAGAAGAACTTCTATGTTTTGCTCAAATCCAAGAGAATTTAGATAGTTGATTGTAGCATTCACTGTCAATAGGTCATGCTGACAAAAAAAGAAGAGAAGAAGATTGAAGGTAGAAAATGGAGAATAGAATGAAATGAAAAGGCAAGGAGAACAGCAGCAACGTGGGACGAGAATTAAAGTCGGAGTACAGAAAATACAAGAAGGAAGAAAAGGAAAAAGAGAAGAAAAAAATACATATACTCACCTCCCCAAAACATCATATTCTCTGAAACATTTATTTATTTGCGAAGAGCACATTAAACAGTTGAGATGGTACAAGTG